ATTCCATTCCCAGTCGCCATGATCGAGCATTCGTCGGCGTAGGAGACAATCGAGACTCCCACTGGTGGTTGAGGGAGCCTTGAAATGTAAAAGTTAAACAGTAGCGGGAAAAGGACACCACCCTGTGGAACCCCCTGTTTTATTTTCCTGAGTTTACTCGTTTTGTCTCTAAACATTACCGACGAGTGTCGACCACTCAGATAATTTGCCGACCACCGTTTGAGCCTCTGTGGGAGAGAGGAGGCCTCTATATCTTCTAGTAGCGTGGAATGGCAGACGGTGTCAAACGCCTTTGACAAGTCCAACGCTACTAGAATCGTTCTCTCACAGGGACGGTTACGGTTAAGGCCACGAGTTATCTGAGTGTTTATGGCGTTAAGTGCTGTTGTTGTACTGTGCACTTTACGGAAACCATGCTGATGCTTCGCTGGGGTCAGGTGGTTTGTGAAGTACGGGAGTAGCAAGGCCTCGAGTGTCTTCGCTACCGGGGAAAGGAGTGTTATCGGACGATACGAATCTCCTTTGTTGGCAGGTTTCCCCGGTTTGAGCAGTGGGACCACTCTCCCCACCTTCCAGATGTCTGGGATGATGAGAGTGGCCATTGACAAATTGAGGACCTCCGTTAGGTACGCTACCCCCGCAGGACCCAAATTTTTCAGCATCAGCATGCATATTCCGTCGGGACCCATGGCTTTGGAGGCTTTCGCCTTCCCGATGGCCACCTGAACTTCACCGCAAGTGAAAGCAAGGGGGGCACAAGTTGTTGGCAGTTTGTGCAGCCTTCTGGTCACTCGACGCTTGGCTTTGTCCACCGGAGGATGCAGTATGAACTGCCGGCTAAAATAGCTCGCGCATCGCTCCGGGTCCGACGAAGCATGGTCGCCGAAGGAAATTTCGACTCTGTCGTCGTGCTTCGTCGGATTGGACAGTGACCTCACGGTTGACCAAAGCTTGCTCACACCAGAGGTGAAGTTACAGGTCTTCAGATGCTCCTCCCACTTCTTCCGCTTATGTACGTTTACTAGTTGCCGAATCTCCGCGTTGAGATCCCTGATACGGGGATCTCCGGGATCGGCCTGACGAAGGCTATCACGCTCATCGGCTAGAACAGCCGCTTCGGCAGGGAAGTTTGGACGTGGGTCCGATATACACCCTGCCGGTATGAAGCGAGCTGCAGCAGCAGTGATAGCCCTGCGGAACTTACGTTCACCGAGATGGACGTCGGTTGGTGTGGGGAGCGCTGTGAAGGTGTTTTCAGTAAACTCCGCGTAACCTTTCCAATCAGCTTTGGAAAAGTTGATATAGGTCCGGTGTTTGGCGGAGGCAAAGTCGGTTGGTTTATCAATCGAGATGACTATGGGTAGATGGTCTGATGCTAGAGTCAGCATAGGTCGCCACGTTATGCTGTTTATCAGACCAGCGCTGACTATTGTGATGTCTGGCGAGCTACTGCAGTTACCCATAATCCTGGTGGGTGCGTCGTCGTTCATTGTGCAGAATGTCGAATCGTCTATCTGCTCAGCCAAGTCTGTTCCCCTACGATCGTTTGACAGGCTTGAGTGCCAAAGATCGTGGTGCGCATTAAAGTCACCTACTACCATACGGTTTTCACCTCTGAGGAGCGCACCTATATCAGGGTGATATCCTGCCGGGCAGCAGGTGACAGGGGGTATGTATATGTTAAATATTTCGAGCTCGACATCGCCTGACCGGATAGCAATGCCCTGACATTCTAGGGTGGTATCCCTGCGGTCGATGTCTGCTTCGATAAGACGATACTGCACGGTGTGGTGCGTGATGAACGCTAAGCCACCACCATTATCTCGCTCGCGATCTCGACGGTGCACGTTGTACCCGGCACAATTCAACAAAGTTGAATTGCTGTGCAACTTCGTCTCTTGGACCGCAGCTATTAATATACCATGCCGACACATGAAGACGGTTATCTCCTCAATCTTGCTCTGTAGCCCGTTACAGTTAAATTGAAGGAGCTTCATGTGGTTCGGGAGACGTGTCGTGATGTGGGGTGTAAGTGAAGTGTATGTTCTTGCCGCCGTTGGCTGTGTGTGCTGCTGAGGTGATTGCCGCCCTGTGGTGGTGGTGGGGGGCGTCGCAATTGACGTCTGCGACCGAGCAGCGCAACACGGGCCCTCGAAATTCCCCGTCCAATCTCGCGGGGTACGCAGACCTGAACATGCCCTAAAGTGGCACCAGCCAAGGCAGGTGTTGCACTTGACTGATGTCACATTACGGAATATTCTGGTCTGACATACCGTGCAGATTGTAGGGGGAACCAGGAGTTGTTGGCGGCGGCGTGTGGGTGGTGGTGCGGTTGTGTGTGTTATGTGGTCTGTGGTGGCTGTGGTACGGTCTGTGGTGTTATTATGTTGTTGTGTTGTGGCGACTGTGTGTGGTTGCTGTGTGAGTGTGTGGGGCTGCACGGGCGGACTATGGTTTGCCGTGGAGGCTGCTCTGTTTGAGCAACAGGGGGCCACGTACGACGTGGTCCACTGTCTGTGTGTCCGTAGTCCCGAGCAGACCCTGAGGTGACTCCACCCCTCGCAGGCATTACACTTGACTGAGGTGGAGTTGTGGTGTAATCGTCTTCGGCATACACAGCAGGTGTATATTTCTGGCCCAGGGTTTGACTCGATGCCAGCCCTGAGTAGGAGAATGCGTAGTGAATGTTGCCCTATGGACGGACAACTTCTGAGATACTTCGCCGACCTAAACGGGGTTAGATCGCCGAAACAACAGCCCTTGGTCGGGTGAAACCCGGGTCATTCCGGTACGTAGAACCGGCTGTCGTGGGAATGATGCCATGCCCGTCGACTCAAGTGGTTTATCAAACTTAAGAGCTAAATAAATCCCACAAGCAGTTCATTAAACCTACTTTAGTATTATTCCATACACCTCTTTGTAGATGAAAAATAAAATTCAACTTAAATATCGATATTGCGGGTAAAGTATCGATGTCTTCGATATATCGACCTTGGAATTTGGATTCCAAAATTCGATTATCGTGGATTAAATATCGATATTGCGGGTAAAGTATCGATGTCTTCGATATATCGACCTTGGAATTTGGATTCCAAAATTCGATTATCGTGGATTAAATATCGATATTAAGAAACATCGATACGTTATCGAAGATTCCTACTACCAAGGCGTATCAACTACAGGTGATAGCGATAGAAGCCATGCTTCTTCTTAGAGCACGCTTGTGTCAAATAATCTACTGTTTTGCTTTGTTTACATATCAAGAATGATAGAATACAAGATTGCGCCGTCCTGGCCGTTGACATTTGTGTACCACAAGTAAACAAAGAATAGAGACAAAAGTAGAACGAGTTGAAACTGTCAAAACAGTTCACTTTACAGCGAAAAAAGTGTTTTAATTTTGATCAATGCGAAAATATTGCATTTTTCATCTAATCTATTGGAGAATAGTGAACGTTTTAGTGCACTTCATGCTTTGCAATTAAGGCTGCTGCAGCAAATGTTTTAGTGTACTCCATTGCTTTGCAATTAAGGCTGGTGCAGCAAACTGCGCCACCATCTGAGTGGGATTGATTAGTTAACTTGCTAAAGAAGGCTGCTTGGAGCAGAAGCGATATGACTCTGATAAAATGCTGTCAATATAATAATAAAAAAAAAACATTTCGGGAACGGCTTTGCCGCGCCCTATATACACAAAATGCAGCTATTCGCCCACCACCATGGGCACCATGGTGCACTTCATGGAAGGACAACAGCGCATGCATATGATGCTAGTATCCAAATTGAATGGCTTATCTTGCCCGTAGAATTCCACCCACTTTCTCGCCACGGCATCGTTGCGAGGAAAGGAAAAAAGCTGCATTTCGAGGCACTACCTTCACGGCTGTCGCAATTTAATACACGGCACTTCATTTTGTTAGTTTTTACACACTCTTCAACTGAAAAATCACTAACAAATTGCAAATTAACACGATTTAAACCGATTTTTCACTAATAATTCAAATTTCTTTATGCCACTGATTTGTAAACAAAAGTTTATTTACGAGTTACCACAACTGTCAAAATCGGCAAAACCAAAGTAGCGGTACCTCTGACGGCGCCACCTTTGTGTCGCTGCACCGTGTTTACATATCCCTATATATATATTATATTATATATCCCTATATACCCTGCAAACAAATGCTTCCGAAATCTTTAAGAGTATCGGAGATTCGTTACGATTCCTTCAAGAAAAACATATGAAGCGGTTTACAAGAACTAGTCAAGAAATTTCTATACGATTTCTTAAAGAATATTCTTAAAAAAAATATGAAACCCTTCAGAATACTCTGAAATCCTGGTATGTAGGGTATACTTATACATACGAATATGAATAGATAAAGAAGCTGTTGATGACACAAGGAGCTCATTCCAACGGTAAATGTTGTTTTTGCAAGATTGCTACAATCTGTAGTTATTGAATCATGGCCACTACTCATGAACTAAAAATACAAGATCACCTAATCAAAGAAGCAAGAAAAAAGTATATTTCTTGGTATTTATGGTAAATTGGTATTTATTAGTAAATATACAAAGTGAAACTTGATCGCAATTAGCAAAAAAAAGTTCATAAAATATGGTTTTCATGATTGAAAGTGTTTTACAATCGCATATCATTACCACGGGTCGATTTTTTAATGCCAACGTTCTGGCCACAGACGTGCACCCACTTTTCAAGCAAATTTACGCCTTTTGGCAAACTAAACATACGCAAAAACTTGTTCCAATCACACAGCACTTCATTTTATATCATAAATATGTAATAAACCAAAATTTATAATTAAAATCGCTGCAGAAAACACATTCAACCGCTAAAAAATCTCTACGAAGAGGTAGAAGACGGTGTAAACAAAACCGAAAAACGCTACGAAAACTTTTTTCAGAAAATCGATTACAAATACAACGATGGCTAATCATGAATGGGTGATCTGTAATCGTTGTTCATGGCTACTACTAGTATTAACTCGTATCGTTTCATCTCTAGTTTTGCAGTACTAGTGAAAAGTCTGCAGGCTTCAGCCAAGGGGGGAAACATAAATTATTTGTGATAATAAAACACTAAACATGTTTGTTGTAATAAGAAGAATATGTGCAAATTATAAATTGATTTTAGCTAAAAATCAATAAACCAAATGTCGCGTTATGGCGTGCTTCGATGCATTTGGAATAAAGTTTTGAGGTGGTAATACAATTATTCCCTGTGAGATATACAATAGTTGCGTTTTTTTACTCATTTCCAGTAAAATCCAGCAAAAGTTTTTACGAATTTTCATGTTTTGGCGTTTTCGTACGCAAAAACTTGCAAAGTAGGGGAAATTGAGAGCGAAAAATGACAGTTGAAGTTGCAAATTTTTACTGGATTTTACTGGATACATTTTTACTTGTAAGAATTTGCCAGTACAAAAAACAGCTGATCGCATGTTGCTGGATGAAATTTAAACTAATAAGGAAACTGTTTGTGGGTTTTTATTGTCGAGTTTCACAAAATAAACCTATTTAAATATAAAATATATTGTTTTATTAGGAATTTGCTGCGAATAAACAACAAATTTATCAGCTGTTCATGAAACTTGCAAATTATTACTGGAAAAGCGTTCACGTACTTTTTTGCAAATTTTTTTATGAGAGCGAATTCTTAGAAATAAAGTTACTGGAGAGTTGCTGGCAAGTTACTGGATAATTTGTAAAAAAACACAACTAATATCAGCAGTCCGAATTTACGATTTTTTTTACCATATTTTACTTAAATGATCCCGTACTCGCTGTCAGCTAATTTTTTCTACTCTGACAGTACGGAATCAAGTGATTTTGTGGAATGCCAACAAAGGAGCATTCATTCAACAATGTTATTATGAATTTATATTAAATAGCCTAATTAAAAGTTTTGTTGTAAGCTTTTTTCAGTGTACGCGAAGAATTCTAATTCCATTAGTTATATGGAAGGCAAACTATAAAAATGCAGAATGCGTTTTAGATAAAAAAATAGTATGTATGCACACCGTGGTAAACAATTGCAGGCAATGTTTAGTTATTTGCCCACAGTTTTTGGGTTAGTGCACGGAAAGGGAGGCAACATGGCTCTTGATACTCCACCCACTCGACCACTGTTCAACATTTGTTACACGTCATACCTGCTCTCGTAACCTTCCACAGACCCCTGGGGAACCATTTGAAAACAGGGGTAAAATGTGCATTTTGGAATATGTTCGGTTACTTGCACAATTATTTTATGGTGTGGAGCGGAGGGGGTTGGGTGCGGCACCCATTAGAAAGAGTACAGTCCAGAGCTAACTCACACCGTAGATGAATTCGCAAGTCGTAAGTTGCTCTCCCCACTTGTTGTAGCGGCTACTAAGCCCCGTTCGGGTCGGTTCATCTATCAGCGTTGTCGCCAATTTCAGCTAGGGGGAGGTCCAGGAAGTGTGCAACTTACACAGGGGCTGTCCATAGGGACAGGGGCGTCAGCTGAGTGGGGTTCTCAGGGCATGTGAAGAGGTGCCGGGAGTCATGTGGCGTCTCTCCACATGCCGGGCATTTGTTGGGCACATCCTCGTTGATGCCGCGTAGGTAGCTGTTGAGCCTGCTGCAATAGCCAAAGCGAAGTTGGGCTATTGTAGTGCGGGTCTCCCGAGGCAGACTAAGTTCTGTCCCGTCCACGTCCGGTGGTTGTGTGCCTAGTACGGCATTCACAGGGCGGGAGTCTACATAACTTGGGACTGATTCCCTGTGAATGCCGTTCAGGGCCTGTCGGTAGGTTGACGGGTCCAGAGGTTGTTTGATGAACCTCTCGACTTGGTCCGTCAGTTCGTAAAGATGCCTCCTGAAATGCATGGCTAGGGCTCTTCCACGAGCAGCTATTCGCTGGGATGGCCACGTCTGTGGCTCCCAGCAAGGAACTGCTTGCAGAGCATTATGTTATGCTCCTTTACTGGGAGGATCTGGGCCTCGTCATGTAGGTGGTGTTGGTGCGTCATCAGGAGGCATCCTGTTGCTGTTCGTAGTGCCGTGTTTTGGCAGGTCTGTAGCTTCATCCACTGCGTCCTGTTAGTCCCCGGCGACCACCCGGCGCTGCAAAGTTCAGAACCGGCCGGCCAATTGCCTTGTGTGTTGCCAACAACGTTTCTTTATATTTTCCCCAAGTGCTGCCCGCCAGCGAATTGAGGACATTGTTGCGGCTCTGTACTTTCTGTCGAAGGTAACTCCGATGATTTTCGGGTTGTTGTTGTTGTAGCGGCACTACTAAGCCCCGCCTTTTTCGGGTCTACGTTCAATCATTGTCGTCGAGCTCAACTAACGGGAGGCCCAGGAAACGAGCTGTTTCGATGGGTTCGGACCAGAGAGAGAGGGGTGTTAGTTGAGTCGGATTGAGCTGGCATGTAAAGAGGTGGTTGGTGTCGTGGGGGGACTCTCCACATGCCGGGCACTCATTGGGGATATTGGGGTCGAGTCTGGACAGGTAGCTGTTAAGGCGGCTACAGTATCCAGACCGTAATTGAGCCAGGGTAGGATTTTCGGGTTATTCACCGTCGGTATTGTTACGCCATCGACGTGAACACCCAGTGGCAGTCTGACCTCCTTCGTCCAGGTAGTGAAAAGGGTTGCCGAGGATTTCGCAGGGGATAGGGCAAGGCTCCTTGCAGTGAAGAAGCGAGAAAGTTCGGAGAGGTAACCGTTTACTTTCGAGCACAAGTCATCAATTCCATTCCCAGACACCATGATCGAACAATCGTCAGCATTCGAGACTATATTAACACCCTCTGGTGGCTGAGGAAGCTTTGATATGTAAAATTAAAAAGTAGCGGGGACAGGACACCACCCTGTGGTACCCCCTGTCTAATTTTACGTGGCTTGCTAGTTTTGTCTCTGAAAATTACTGACGAGTGTCGACCACTCAGGTAATTCGCCGACCACAGTTTGAGTCCCTGTGGGAGTGAGGAGGCCTCTATATCTTCTAGTAGCGTTGAATGACTGACAGTGTGGAAGCCTTGGACGCATTCCCACGGCAGCCGGTTCTACGTACCGGTATGACTCGGGTTTTACCCGACCAAGGGCTGTTTCGGCGATTTATCTCAGAAGTTTAGGTCGGCGAAGTATCTCAGAAGTTGTCCGTCCATAGGGCTACATTCGCTACGTATTCTTCTACTCAGGGCTGGCATCGAGTCAAACCCAAGGCCAGAAACCTACACCCGCTGTGTATGCCATAGACGACTACGCCACAACTCCACCTCAGTCAAGTGCAATGCTTGCGAGGGGTGGGTTCACCTCAGAGTCTGCTCAGGACTACGGACACATCGGCAGTGGACCACGTCTTTTGTAGCCCCCTGCCGCTAAAACAGCAGCATCCACGGCTAATCCCAGTCCACCTGAGCAGTCCCACACAAACACCACAGCACAACAACATAACACAATAGACCACACCACAACTGCTACAGACCACAGAACACACAACCGCACCACCACCCACACGCCGCCGCCTGGTTCCTCCTACAATCTGCACGGTACGTCAGACAGACCAGGATATTCCGTTATGTGACATCAGTCAAGTGCAACACCTGCCTTGGCTGGTGCCACTTTAGGTCATGCTCAGGTCTGCACACCACGCGAGATTGCACGAGGAACTTCGAGGGCCCATGTTGCGCTGCTCGGTCGCAGACCTCAAGTGCGACGCCTCCCCCCACCACCACAGGGCGGCAACCACCTCAGCAGCGCACACAGCCAACTGCGGCACGACCACACACATCCCTCACACCCCGCATCACCTCACGTCTCCCGAACCACATGAAGCTTCCCCAATTTAATTGTAACGGTGTTCAGAGCAGGATCGAGGAGATAACTGTCTTCATGGGAAGGCAAGGCATATTGATAGCTGCGGTCCAAGAGACGAAGTTGCACAGCAATTCAAAAGTGTTGAATTGTGCCGGGTACAACGTGCACCGTCGAGATCGCGTGCGGGATAATGGTGGTGGCTTAGGGTAGAGCTGTCAAACTATCGATAGTCAAGTCCATCGATGTTTTGCGATAGTCTTAAGGGTGACTATCGATACTATCGATAGTATCGACCCATTTCATATGTTTTTCTAAATCCATTTATTTTTCGTTATCATGCTTTTATTAATTTGTTTATTTTATCGGCTCATGGTTGCATTTTAGATTCGAGAAATATTGCTAGAAATTCATTCGCTGTGTAGATAGTCAAAAAGCGATTTCAGAAATTTTCTCTGCAATTCGCCTTTCGGAAATAAAAAATGTCTTTACATGCAAGGTGCCACTGCTCATGCAACTGCTTTCTGCAATTTCTCAATTTGACAGTCTTTTGAAATACATATACTGCATTGCCCGGTATGACACGCTCTTAAAACGGCAATATAACCTCTGCTATTTCCACGCTAAAAATAAAAAAATGGCGCTTTTGGAAATAATGCAATGAACCAACTAAACAGATTACCCAGCACGGCATCCGCGTATTTGTAATTGCATTTGAGAAAAAAATAATAATAGCAAATAACGTAATTTTTTCATCGGTTGTTTCATTAACACACATGGTTTCATACCGTTTTATTCACATGGCGGCGAAAAAATGACGTCACTGCAAAAAAATACTTTCTCGCACACCGTCCTAGGTGATCTTTATTCGTTCGTTCCTGAAATAATGCTGCCAATTTTTGTTCTCTTTGAACCAATACGTGCAAATATCAAAAGCGCTAGGAAGGAGAATACGCTATCAATGAAGCGATAGTGGCGATAGTACTAAAACTATCGATAGTTATTTCAAGTGACCAGACTATCGATACTATCGATAGTATCGTCGATAGTTTGACAGCTCTAGCTTAGGGTTCATCACGCACTACACCGTGCAGTATCGTCTCATTGAAGCAGACATCGACCGCAGGGATACCATCCTAGAATGTCAGGGCATTGCTATCCGGTCAGGCGATGTTGAGCTCGAAATATTTAACGTTTATATACCCCCTGTCACCTGCTGCCCGGCAGGATATCACCCTGACATAGGTGCGCTCCTCAGAGGTAAAACCGTATGGTAGTTGGTGACTTTAATGCTCCCCACGATCTTTGGCATTCAAGCCTGTCAAACGATCGTAGGGAAACAGACTTGGCTGAGCAGATAGACGATTCAACATTCTGCACAATGCACGACGACGCACCCACCAGGACTATGGGCAG